CACGATAAAAAAAAAAAAAAAAATATATATATATATATATATATATATATATATATATATATATATATATATATACAAACCTCTCCAAAATAACTGTAATACTCAAACACAAGGCATCACATTTATGAGTGTGGTTTGCATTATCTGCTTTTCTGGGGCCTAGAACCAGTCTCACTGGGTGAATTGTCTGCTGGCAGCATATATTTACTTAAAGGCTACTGACCACAAAGCTAAAAGGGATGCTGGGTTCAGCCAGGCTAGACATGAGACAGAAACCCAGGAGCTTCCTGTAAGGGCTGGAGCTTTAAACTTGGGGTGTCAGGGCCTGATTTTGTAGCTTTAATGGAAAAGAGAGTTCTGCCTCCACAAACAAAGCAGGATCTCTGTGAGAACCACTTGCTGTTTGAACCTCATATGTTAAGGACTTTATTAAAACCAATAGTAACACCCATGAAAGTCAATGAGAGGTTACATAAAGCCCTCCCCAGCAATTTTCTTTTAATGCAATTACACATTTAAAATATTAATTGCTGAAAAATTGCTGCGTATCTACTAATGAAGAACAAATATAATACATTCCTTTCACAGCTGCTCTTCCACTTGGATTCTTAGATCAATACAAATTATTCAAAAAGGTTATATAACATTTTAGATGATAGATTTAATAATCAGTAAGCAAAGGAATATATTGGCAACTACTCAGAGTTTTAAAGTGGGATATTGTTTCTCTTCAGAGTAAACTTTAGCCACAAACTGGTGTCTAACTCATGCCATATCAGCATGAAGAAGTCCAAGTAAATAAGCAATAACTCAGTAGGCAATCTCAGCAAGCAAGTCTTTTTGTCTGAAGGAACAACACAGCAGTCTAAGAAACAAATCTGAAAACCAAGGCTCTCTCAAGCTAACTATTTTATTGCAATTAAAAAAAAAAATAAAACCTCATGCCACATAAGTTTTACATGGAGTTCTGTAAATGGTCTGTTGGTTCAGTTCATAAAATGGGGTTTTTTAGATACGATTCTTCCTTGGACACTTTTTAAAGTATCATTCAGCAAAGGATTCTCTCTCACCACAACAGACCTTGCAAGTTGCTGGTGTTTCAAAAAATATTTGGCTGTTTTTCAGTAGATGAAACCTGTTTAGTCAGAGTTTAGTAGAGAGAGAGAGAGAGAGAGAAAGAAAGAAAGAGAGAGAAAGCTAAAGACCATCCTAAGTGATACTGAAGTTGGCAGAAGCTGTCAATGCCTGCTACTTCTCATGATATGTGGTGCAGATGGGAGAAAGTTTTAGGATTTAATCCACTTGGTGTGGACTGGAATATTACCACTCACTTCAGTGAGAGCAGGATATGATTCTGTGGAAACACGAGAACTAAATAAATGTTAGTGATCTTCATTATGTTAGTAATCCTCATGATATCAGCAAGAGCTCTAAATAGATTTAGAAGTTCAGCTGAAAGTTAAACATTTAGTCATTGTTTTCACTTAGTGTCTTACCTATACTATCATTA